AAAAACCATATTAAAGACAACAAATATTACAAAGATTTCGCTTTACGTGCAAAGACCATAAACGAAATTTATTTGAAGTTTAGTCTTTGTATGTTCATGTACTTGATCTAGTTTGAGTCATACTTTACTAATTATTCATATTTTTCAACGTATTTCCAGCGATTTTACAGTAACAATGATAAATTAAGACTTTATAATGTAACAGAACTAACTCATCTATGATAAGATTATTCTTTTCACAAAGTAATTTAAACTGCTTTTTCAAATTATTATTTTCAAACTTTAAATACTCCAGAAATAAATACAGGACAACAAACATATTTCTCTAATTACAAATTTAAATATTTTATGTATAATCGAAAATTATTTTTCAAATGTAATCAATTTTTTTTTCAATAAAATTCATACATATTTAATAAATTATTAAAGTACAAGTTGTCATTATTAATATGCTAATTAGGAATTAATTGCATAATTATTAAAAACTTCAATTCCCAAATTAGCTGATTTGAACTTTTTAGCAATAATCAACTATACAGTTATCCTCGTACAACACGATTTCCAGTTTCGTTCTAACAAAGGTTTGTAAATCTTCCGTATAAAATTTCACAATTTTTAAGTGTACACTCCGTTATTAGACGTAATTATTCATAATTATAGTTGATTGTTGTTTNATAAAAATGTAAAATATTAAAGACTTATAAAAATAAATGTACTGTAGTTTTCTTTGTCGTCCTTTTCACAATCACAGGAATTTGTTTTTACTGACCTACTACCAAAGAGTTTTTTCTAAAATGAAAAGTTTAACTTGCTGTTTTTTTTTTTATTTATCTTAAATTTAGATCTGCTATTTCCAAAATCTGTGGCAGTTAAATTTACTGTATATTTAAACAAATAGTAAAAAATACAAAATATTAAAAACTGTATTTTTGATAACACAGATAGCATTCATTCATGTAACAGATATTCATGTAGTCTTCTTTGTCGTCCTTTTCACAATCACAAACGTGATCTATGCTCTGTCCTTTTCTGAGGAAAAGGACACAATATAATTTGAATCACGTGACCACAACAAAAGGAAATAAATAAATTTGTTTATAATTAAGGTTCTTCTATGCTCGATTTTTATGGAGAAAACCTAAAAGGAAAGATATTTTAAAATATGATTTGATCAAAAACTATTTTTCCAATTAAATTGAGTCTGGAATGGCATTTCGAAATACATCTTGCACATTGAAATTTTTATTATGAGTAGTCTATATATGGAAAAAGTGAGTAAAGCAAGCGGGAAGTTGGATTACTACAGAAGATAATGGGTCGAATTCCTCGTAATTAATAATAATAACATTAACTGTAATTGTAGTGAACCAATAAATTTCATTATTTATATAAATAAAAATGTAAATGTTCGTTTGTTCAAAATCTTAAATCTCCGGAAGTTCTTAACCGATTACTTTGAAATTTTGTCACATCGTTGCATTCGAATAAGCGCGTGTTTTTATATTATGTAGATGTCGAAATTCCCCCCTCGGGGAGAGGGACAAAATTAAGGCTTACCATGAAGAACTCGTCTTTTATTATACTATTTTAGATGCGGTTTTTTGCGTTTTTGGTTGCATTTTAATAAAATACGTCAAGAGAATTACACTAAGAAGAGATTTTTCGAAATTCCCTCCCGCGGGGAGGTTATACATTTATAATAGATACATTTTGAGCCGCAGCAAAGAGTGGCCGAGTACAGCTACTTATTTAATAATATTTCAATAAAAAAATTTGTTATATATTAATAATTGAAATCATACATTTCATTATTTATTTATATACTAACAGATATGCCAAGCGTTTTCCAGAAGAAAAACAAAAATGTTAAACATTAAAATCATATTAAATATTTGATTATTTTAGTCCAACTCAAATCAAAAGCGCTATTTCGGAGGAGATTCCAAATTCATAAGACTCTATACTCTTTGAAATCATTAGAAATACTATTATTTGTGGACCGCGAGACACCTTTAATAATTTATATATAATGTTTACTTATAGTCTTATACAATAATGCGTTAAATTTAAATTATTTAATTCCAAAGGTTTCCGACTTCGGTGACTTTAATCGAATAAAGTCATCGTCTTTTGAAACCTTTGGATATTAGAATTGATGTAATGAAATTATCAAACGTACTTGAAATTTACAGAGAAAAGAAAGATAGAAATTCAGCGCCCCTTATCCACATTATAATACACTTATACAGTTTATTCGTTACCAGGAATTACCTTATTGTAATTATTTAATTAAATACATAAATAACTTACTATCTGTTGTAATGAAAGAATATCGAAATCAACGATTTTAAAATTTTCTCCTACCGTTGTGAGAGTCAACATTACTTTCAGAGAACAAAAGATGCAATCTTTAAAATGATATGCTCTAATTATTAAATGTATAGGCCTACTGTATATACTGTACATTTTACTAATGAAGGGTTTAATTTTACTAATTTTTTTGCAGTTAGAAATGACTAAATAGAACTGATAAATACCTAGAATCAATAAGTAGAAAAGAAAAGTTTTTAAAAATTCGAAAATAATTGAAAAATATCTTGTTTGTTTCTTCAATCTTCTATAAAAGTTTTTGAAAAAGAAAGCGTTTCAATGTATAGACAGTACTTGTGGCAAATATAATTATAGAAAGGAATAACTTACTACTTTAACTTTTTTCAAAGTTTTAAGTTTTTTCCAAGCTTCTAGCTAATAGAAACGTTATATAATAAGGTAATATTTTAGATATGTTTAAAATGAATCTATTTTATAATTGAAATATTTTTTAAAATAATTATTTAAGTATCTATTATTTTATTTTCTTATCAGTCAATAATTGTAACTGAACAGAATGTTACAATTATTATACATGCACATATATATTAATTTTCTTCCTTGAATATTTGATATTTGAAACTTATTTTATTGCAATCAATTTTAACAGGATTTTTATTTCATGTTTGTAAATCTTTTACAAACATGAAATAAAAATCTTCCGTAATGGAAGGTTTGTAAATCTTCCGTATAAAATTTCACAATTTTTAAGTGTACACTCCGTTATTAGACGTAATTATTCATAATTATAGTTGATTGTTGTTTATAGTTTTATTAAAGTTATTTAAAACGTGTTATAATTATAGTTTCTCATTTACAGTATTTATACAGGGTGTTTGAAAAGAATATTGCAAAAATAAACTATCACATATTCTTTGATTTCAATTAAACTATTTTAAATTATTTTAATATTAATTTAAAATATTTTATTTTAGTCTGTCATGTGAGCTAACTAAAATTTAATTGAACTTAATTTATTTGTAAAATCTCAAACAGTAACTATCGAGTAGAGTCTGCTAAGAAGTTAGAAATTGAATTACTATAACTATATTATTTATGTTTTTTTAAGGAATGCAATGTTCTATTTATTAATTCCATTTTTACATTTCCGTCTCTGTCATTGACTTATATAACAGAGGGAAAGTTGGCGTTCTGTCAAAACATGGCTCCCAAGAATTTTTACATTTTTGGACTCAGGGGACCTTGAAACATCGAGAGTTTTTTCTGTATGTATTTTTGTCGTTGGTGCATGGGTGTGTGTTTGTGAGGCAAATTTTGTTTACCCTTTTTTTAAAGCTTAATAACTCCTGTGCTGTTTGTCGAAAATTTATGATGTTTTGTACAGAGATTTGTGTATTAGGGAGATTGATGCTATTAAATGCTGGTGGTTAAAGTCGACGGAATGGGTAGTCCTGTGTCATATCTCGAGTAAAATCAGACTTAATGATTATTTTACTCATTATTAGCATTTACATTTTTCCTTTTTTTAAAACTCATCTGTAATCTTAAATTAAGCTTATTGCCATTTTATAGTAATTAAAAATGTAAAAAGTATTTTACCAAAATATTATAACGTATAGCGGTACACGCAGTTTTAAATGTGGCCAGGAAAGTTAAGCAACTCGTTGCTTGAATTTTTATTTTGTAATTAAACATTATAAAAAAAACAAAGAAATTGCTTTTTTAAAGGTTATCATTTGTGATTTAATCGTTAATTTAATCGTTCTGAAATTCATAAAATTATATGTAGATTACGAAAAATAATTATGTTTATGGATCGATTTTATCATATTAAACTTTAATTGTAAATCGGAAGTTAATTATTTTAACAAGAGATGGGCGAATAGTACTTTTTTCGAATTCAAATATTAACAAGATCCAAAAACTCGAATGCTTAGTGATCTTAATACCTCATGTGGCTTATTTAGTTGATAATTTATTTAATATGTATTGTTTAACTTGTTTTATGTATTTCAATATATCAATAAAGTAAAGCAAAAAGTGAAAATAAAAATCATTTTACTAAATTTTAAGAAATGAAATGTCAAACTTTTCATTTTGAATTTTAAAGTACCTTGTTTTAGGTACTATTTTTTTCCTTTATGTCTTTTTGGTAATCCTTTTGGTAACAAATAATTGTTTCCATTTTTACCTACTGCAGATTTTTCTTTAAGAAAACAAACTTCAAAATGTAGTTTTTTTAAAATATTTATTAATATAATGTATAAAATTTATTAAATGTATAATGTATAAAATTTATTAAATGTATAATGTATAAAATTTATTAAATGTATAATGTATAAAATTTATTAAATGTAGTTTTTTTAAAACATTTAACTGACAACAAGTTGCAATCCTTACGTTATCTTTACATCATCTTCAACTGAAACAAACTATCAGACAGTGGTCAGCTATTACAGTCGAAAAGCTGTCAATATTTTATGAAATGGCAAGAATCCCAATGATAGATCTAAGAAACTGCATAACTAAACTAGAACTTACATTTGAAAAAATAGCGTTTGCTAAAGAAAAACAAGGGGCGACAATCTGTAACACAGCAAACAAATGAGGCTGAATTTGTTAGTAAACTAGATGAATTTTTTGGCATTTCTCATCTTAGAGCAGTCGAAATGATCAAAATTCTAGAGGATCATGAGTTCTTGTTAGCCCAGCGTGAGAAAGGACCTAAAGGGTCAATGGTAGGTGTGAATGCAAAATTAGCTGCGAAGGAGAAACGATCAGCACGAAGACAGGAACAGATGATTAACAGAAAACGTGGAATGGAAGACTTGAAGAGAAGTGGGGAAGAAATAGCAGAACTGATATCCTCAAGCAGCAGCGGAGATACTGAAGAAGATGCAAGCTGTAAGGGAGACAGAGTAACTAGTGAGAGAGCAGTTGGAAGCAGATTAACCAGACAGCAAAAAAGAGATACTCTCTGCCTCTACCAAAAAGTTGCATTGAATGTAGTACTGAAAATTTCAAATTTTGTAAACTGCGATGTTTGAAAATTTTTACTAGTATTTTGGTTTGTAATCCATCAAGTTTTTGAATGTTGTAGAGTCTCCCCGACTATTTAATTTGTCTGCAATTGTCCAAAAAGGGAAACAAGTCTGGCTTACCAAAACAGGTCTTGTATGTTTTCATTTGTCTTAAATTGCTCTTTTTATAAACTTTGTGGTCATTGAGCTACCTCTAAATAATTTATATAACAAGTTCAAATTTCTTCTGTAGTAATTTGAGACCAGTTGGAATAGTTCTGGGGGATAGAACAACAAAAATGTAAGCGATTTATTTTTTCCTATTTTGAGCACCGCCCTTTTGTAATAACTGGGCTTCGATATACCAATTCCTTCAGANATTTTCATATTCTATATAGATTAAACAGCTAATCAGTATAAATTTTATTATTAAATAATTTTGATACAGAAACGAATGTAATAATTCAAATATATGTACTGTATATATAACCAGTTTTTCTTAAAATATATATAAATATTCTGAGAATAATTGATTTTTTCATTGAATTATTAGCATTATATAATTTCAATGATATTGCTCGATCATTATGTTTTGTAGATTCTGAATTAAATTCTGAAGTTATGCAAAATTTAATTTAGCAAATCACTTATACTATAAATTTATCTTATTACTTTAAAATGAAGTAAATAAGTCAAACTGTTTTTATTTTAATAATTGTGTGATTCGAAGGAAATAATTTAATAATTCAATAATTTTATTATATGCTAATACGATGACGAGAGGATCGAATCAAAGGTCGAGTAGAGAACAAAATAACCAATTGGGAAAAACCCACACACATCCTATTTCTCCCGATTTCTTAATAGATAAGACCGATCGAATATCTCTCCAATTTAACAATTATTACTAAGGTTGTATCCCAAACACTGACCTTAGTCACTACCGGCAATTAATTTAGTATGTTTGACAGATGTTATCAGTTTTATGAGTAACAATACCGGATAACAAGAGGTATTAAATTTGTCGAAACGTTCGATTTCTGACAATTAACATAAACAACACCCGGACGCAAATCAAATTTACTTGTTAGACAGGATTGCATCAGAACTTTCCCCGATAGTTTCCCCTTCGGGACGTGTATAAAAAGAGGTCGCACCCGCATTTCGGAGCGATCGTCATAAGGAAGCCTCCAGGCCGGTAACTCTATTCGGAACTCTCTCCTCTACCATATCGCAGGACCGCTGGGAGCGATCGCCATAAGGAAACATCCGGTCACGGACCACCGCGGACTAACAATAGACTAGCATAGAAGAGCTCCAGCCGCCCATAACTACTGTACATAGCCGGATTCGCCTCCATCTAGACGCCTCCATCCATCCTTAGAAGAATCTAACTATCTTGGAAGGGTCAACTCTGAGGTATTTATTAGAGATATGTGAACTCTCTTTTTGCCTAGATTTAACAGATCCGCGTATCGGGTTGCCTACGAAATGTCTGTCGCGCAGGTTATATTTTTGTAGCTTATAGCGCATATAATCCCATATTTAGCCATAACTGTGCAATTTTATGTATCTTAGTTTTAAGTTTGATATTAAATTTGTTGTTTTGTTGAAACCTGTCTATTATTCGGAAAACCTATCGACTTACTCACCTCCCTCCCACTCTATCTAAAAGCCCTCCTAACTTGACAAATAGAACGAGTTGCCGGTAAACGGAATAAAAAGAGTTCGCAAGTCTGTGCCCCCTCGGTTCTCACAATTTTATCAATAGTGCATTAATTAAAGCACTATTGAAGCAAACATAAAGACATTATTTTTATCATATCACAAGTGATTACAAAATAGAAAATTTTTAAACTTCAATAATTTCATGCATATTTGATTCAGTGAAATAAATAAATAAAAGAAAAAACGAATTTGCACATTGAAAAGTTATGATTAGTTTTAGAATTTGCTAACAATCTTTAAGTAAATATTTGTGTAAATCTGTTAGATTTTTATATGAATTAAATATTATTTGTTTACGAATTTACACAATTTAAGTACACATTTTCTATTTTATTACACTCAAACCTTGAAGTAAAAAAATTAATTAAATATAATTTTAATTAAAGTAAATATTAAAAAATAAATAAAGTACAAATAAATATTATTTTAATAAAATTACAAAGAAGGTAAACATATTGATTAATATTAATATTATTCTGAATTATAAAAGAAAAATAAATAAAGAGAAATTTAAACTTTCTTTTTCACTTCTATGCATAATTTTATATTAAAAATTTAAAATTATATTAGAAATTTATATGCTTACATTTAATACATTCAAATAGTCGGCAGTAATCACCTCGCGTCAACCTCCCATTATAGTGTCATACCGAAGATTATAGCGTCAACCTCCCATTGTGGAGATCAGAAATCGAATACAAGCGACCAAAAATCTCAGGAATTTTCGGTGGTGTTATGTTTGGGATACCGGCGCTGAGGTGCTTGGCGCCTTATGCAAGAATTTATATGGCGTCCTAGAATTACGATATTACAATATTCAGCTTTAATTGGTTATTTGTAACTATAATTAAAGATAGGTATCACTTAAATAAACAAAACGTAAACAAAAAAAAAACAGCTTGGTGAAAATTAAATTCTTTCTCTGCGTCCGAGATATCTTGTCATTACGCCCTTGAGGTCAATTTCCATTTTTCTCTTGGCATATCGCTCAAGTGTTGCATTGCCAGCCTTCATTTTCGAGCTAACTTTCAACATTTATTAACCATATGTATACGAGAAAATTCAAATAATATATAGTTTTAATAAATAAAAGTTTAAGTATATATAATTAACAAAATTTAATGTAAAGGTAAACCTGTTTAAATATTGAACATTACAAAAGTTAAAATTTTAAACAAAACAGTTTTTTATTACTTACTGGACTGTTTTAACACAGGGAAAGTATGGCGTTCTGGCTAAAAATGACCAACCCCAGATTTTTACATTTTTCAACTTAGGACACCTTGAAACGACAAATGCAAAAAAAAATGTAATTTCTGTATGTATTGACGTTAGTGTGTGTGGGGCACGATTTTGTTTACCCTGTTTGAAGCTTAAATAACTCCTGTGCTTTTTGTCGAAAAATTCTGAAATTTTGAAAGAAGATTTGTTCATTAGGGAGATTGATGCTTTTAAATTTTGGTGGTTAAAGCTCGAAAGGGTGGGAGACAACGAGAGCCATGTTTATCTCCAGTAGAGTCAAACTTAATTACGATTTTACTCGTTATTAGCATTTAAAACATTTTATAAAATTCGTCCCTACCCTCAAAATTAAGCTTTTTGCTATTTTGTAATAGTTAAAAATATATAAATATTTTAAAATAAAATATGATAACAGATGGCGCTAGCAAAATTTTAAATGTGGCTTGGAAAGTTGAGCAACTTGTTGCTGGTTTATTTTTATTTTATCTTCTTTATTAGATAGAAACTATGTTTTCACTATTTTCTATATGTTGAAAAAGTTTTGTCGAAATGTCTCTTGTTTAGCATTTTATATGGATGCATAAAATTGTACAAAAATTGTAGCTAAACAGAAATCTTGTCGTAAAAATAAATAAGTTAACTAATAAAATTATTTTTTTAAACTAATAACATGTAAATTTAAAAGCAATTTACGATGTTAAATTTATTTTCGTTATGAAATGTAAATATATGAAAAACTGTTTGTTTACTTAATATTAATGAATAAATTGATAAGTTTTTGCTTGGGTATTATCATAAAATTAAGGAAAATATTCTAATGTGATTGTAAAATTTTTTAAAATGTTATTCGATTAATTAACGTCAGAAAGACAAAATTTTTATATTTATTTGATGAATGTGTGAAAACTAAGCGTATACAAAAGAAAAATCAATGAAAAAACATATAAAGAGTTGCATTGAAAATTATTGACGTCGTTTTGCTAATTTGTGATAAAATTACTATTAACAGTAAAATTAATTTAGAAGAGTTGAAATACTTTAATGAATAAAATCATAAAATTTCTTTTCACATTTTTGTGCAAATACGTTTGAAAAAGTGTCACCAACTTTTGTCTTTTTAGAGTTAATATATTGGTGATGGATTTTTAAACTGTACTGTACAAATGAGCATATCGCTAAAATTTTTATAATTGATAATCACGTAAACTAATTTTTCCGATCTGAAAATTTTCAATAATAATTTAATATGATTTATCGTCAAGAATCGCTTATTCATATGATGTAATTTCAAAACATTGGAGGATGAAGGTTTTCAGAATAATCAAATTAAAAACTTACTGTGATTTTAAGCCTGGCAGTTATCGAGTAGATAAAATCATCACTGAACGCTGGTAGTTAGTTAGTAGTGGGTCGCACCTCGCCAAAAGTAGTTTTCTGGGTTTTCTTCACGTTTTTAACACCTAAGTAAGGCCAGTTTCCTTTAAAAAAGTCCTCCAGGGAAGCATCTGCCTTCGGCATATCGCCCAAGTGCTTCATTGCCGTGTACAGAAACATTGAGATTTTAATACATATGTATTTTGATAAATCAATAATTATTTTTATGGCAAGTAAATTATGAAAGGCCGGACNTCAGGACGGAATATATATATATATATTTAAACAAATAGTAAAAAATACAAAATATTAAAAACTGTATTTTTGATAACACAGATAGCATTCATTCATGTAACAGATATTCATGTAGTCTTCTTTGTCGTCCTTTTCACAATCACAAACGTGATCTATGCTCTGTCCTTTTCTGAGGAAAAGGACACAATATAATTTGAATCACGTGACCACAACAAAAGGAAATAAATAAATTTGTTTATAATTAAGGTTCTTCTATGCTCGATTTTTATGGAGAAAACCTAAAAGGAAAGATATTTTAAAATATGATTTGATCAAAAACTATTTTTCCAATTAAATTGAGTCTGGAATGGCATTTCGAAATACATCTTGCACATTGAAATTTTTATTATGAGTAGTCTATATATGGAAAAAGTGAGTAAAGCAAGCGGGAAGTTGGATTACTACAGAAGATAATGGGTCGAATTCCTCGTAATTAATAATAATAACATTAACTGTAATTGTAGTGAACCAATAAATTTCATTATTTATATAAATAAAAATGTAAATGTTCGTTTGTTCAAAATCTTAAATCTCCGGAAGTTCTTAACCGATTACTTTGAAATTTTGTCACATCGTTGCATTCGAATAAGCGCGTGTTTTTATATTATGTAGATGTCGAAATTCCCCCCTCGGGGAGAGGGACAAAATTAAGGCTTACCATGAAGAACTCGTCTTTTATTATACTATTTTAGATGCGGTTTTTTGCGTTTTTGGTTGCATTTTAATAAAATACGTCAAGAGAATTACACTAAGAAGAGATTTTTCGAAATTCCCTCCCGCGGGGAGGTTATACATTTATAATAGATACATTTTGAGCCGCAGCAAAGAGTGGCCGAGTACAGCTACTTATTTAATAATATTTCAATAAAAAAATTTGTTATATATTAATAATTGAAATCATACATTTCATTATTTATTTATATACTAACAGATATGCCAAGCGTTTTCCAGAAGAAAAACAAAAATGTTAAACATTAAAATCATATTAAATATTTGATTATTTTAGTCCAACTCAAATCAAAAGCGCTATTTCGGAGGAGATTCCAAATTCATAAGACTCTATACTCTTTGAAATCATTAGAAATACTATTATTTGTGGACCGCGAGACACCTTTAATAATTTATATATAATGTTTACTTATAGTCTTATACAATAATGCGTTAAATTTAAATTATTTAATTCCAAAGGTTTCCGACTTCGGTGACTTTAATCGAATAAAGTCATCGTCTTTTGAAACCTTTGGATATTAGAATTGATGTAATGAAATTATCAAACGTACTTGAAATTTACAGAGAAAAGAAAGATAGAAATTCAGCGCCCCTTATCCACATTATAATACACTTATACAGTTTATTCGTTACCAGGAATTACCTTATTGTAATTATTTAATTAAATACATAAATAACTTACTATCTGTTGTAATGAAAGAATATCGAAATCAACGATTTTAAAATTTTCTCCTACCGTTGTGAGAGTCAACATTACTTTCAGAGAACAAAAGATGCAATCTTTAAAATGATATGCTCTAATTATTAAATGTATAGGCCTACTGTATATACTGTACATTTTACTAATGAAGGGTTTAATTTTACTAATTTTTTTGCAGTTAGAAATGACTAAATAGAACTGATAAATACCTAGAATCAATAAGTAGAAAAGAAAAGTTTTTAAAAATTCGAAAATAATTGAAAAATATCTTGTTTGTTTCTTCAATCTTCTATAAAAGTTTTTGAAAAAGAAAGCGTTTCAATGTATAGACAGTACTTGTGGCAAATATAATTATAGAAAGGAATAACTTACTACTTTAACTTTTTTCAAAGTTTTAAGTTTTTTCCAAGCTTCTAGCTAATAGAAACGTTATATAATAAGGTAATATTTTAGATATGTTTAAAATGAATCTATTTTATAATTGAAATATTTTTTAAAATAATTATTTAAGTATCTATTATTTTATTTTCTTATCAGTCAATAATTGTAACTGAACAGAATGTTACAATTATTATACATGCACATATATATTAATTTTCTTCCTTGAATATTTGATATTTGAAACTTATTTTATTGCAATCAATTTTAACAGGATTTTTATTTCATGTTTGTAAATCTTTTACAAACATGAAATAAAAATCTTCCGTAATGGAAGGTTTGTAAATCTTCCGTATAAAATTTCACAATTTTTAAGTGTACACTCCGTTATTAGACGTAATTATTCATAATTATAGTTGATTGTTGTTTATAGTTTTATTAAAGTTATTTAAAACGTGTTATAATTATAGTTTCTCATTTACAGTATTTATACAGGGTGTTTGAAAAGAATATTGCAAAAATAAACTATCACATATTCTTTGATTTCAATTAAACTATTTTAAATTATTTTAATATTAATTTAAAATATTTTATTTTAGTCTGTCATGTGAGCTAACTAAAATTTAATTGAACTTAATTTATTTGTAAAATCTCAAACAGTAACTATCGAGTAGAGTCTGCTAAGAAGTTAGAAATTGAATTACTATAACTATATTATTTATGTTTTTTTAAGGAATGCAATGTTCTATTTATTAATTCCATTTTTACATTTCCGTCTCTGTCATTGACTTATATAACAGAGGGAAAGTTGGCGTTCTGTCAAAACATGGCTCCCAAGAATTTTTACATTTTTGGACTCAGGGGACCTTGAAACATCGAGAGTTTTTTCTGTATGTATTTTTGTCGTTGGTGCATGGGTGTGTGTTTGTGAGGCAAATTTTGTTTACCCTTTTTTTAAAGCTTAATAACTCCTGTGCTGTTTGTCGAAAATTTATGATGTTTTGTACAGAGATTTGTGTATTAGGGAGATTGATGCTATTAAATGCTGGTGGTTAAAGTCGACGGAATGGGTAGTCCTGTGTCATATCTCGAGTAAAATCAGACTTAATGATTATTTTACTCATTATTAGCATTTACATTTTTCCTTTTTTTAAAACTCATCTGTAATCTTAAATTAAGCTTATTGCCATTTTATAGTAATTAAAAATGTAAAAAGTATTTTACCAAAATATTATAACGTATAGCGGTACACGCAGTTTTAAATGTGGCCAGGAAAGTTAAGCAACTCGTTGCTTGAATTTTTATTTTGTAATTAAACATTATAAAAAAAACAAAGAAATTGCTTTCTTAAAGGTTATCATTTGTGATTTAATCGTTAATTTAATCGTTCTGAAATTCATAAAATTATATGTAGATTACGAAAAATAATTATGTTTATGGATCGATTTTATCATATTAAACTTTAATTGTAAATCGGAAGTTAATTATTTTAACAAGAGATGGGCGAATAGTACTTTTTTCGAATTCAAATATTAACAAGATCCAAAAACTCGAATGCTTAGTGATCTTAATACCTCATGTGGCTTATTTAGTTGATAATTTATTTAATATGTATTGTTTAACTTGTTTTATGTATTTCAATATATCAATAAAGTAAAGCAAAAAGTGAAAATAAAAATCATTTTACTAAATTTTAAGAAATGAAATGTCAAACTTTTCATTTTGAATTTTAAAGTACCTTGTTTTAGGTACTATTTTTTTCCTTTATGTCTTTTTGGTAATCCTTTTGGTAACAAATAATTGTTTCCATTTTTACCTACTGCAGATTTTTCTTTAAGAAAACAAACTTCAAAATGTAGTTTTTTTAAAATATTTATTAATATAATGTATAAAATTTATTAAATGTATAATGTATAAAATTTATTAAATGTATAATGTATAAAATTTATTAAATGTAGTTTTTTTAAAACATTTAACTGACAACAAGTTGCAATCCTTACGTTATCTTTACATCATCTTCAACTGAAACAAACTATCAGACAGTGGTCAGCTATTACAGTCGAAAAGCTGTCAATATTTTATGAAATGGCAAGAATCCCAATGATAGATCTAAGAAACTGCATAACTAAACTAGAACTTACATTTGAAAAAATAGCGTTTGCTAAAGAAAAACAAGGGGCGACAATCTGTAACACAGCAAACAAATGAGGCTGAATTTGTTAGTAAACTAGATGAATTTTTTGGCATTTCTCATCTTAGAGCAGTCGAAATGATCAAAATTCTAGAGGATCATGAGTTCTTGTTAGCCCAGCGTGAGAAAGGACCTAAAGGGTCAATGGTAGGTGTGAATGCAAAATTAGCTGCGAAGGAGAAACGATCAGCACGAAGACAGGAACAGATGATTAACAGAAAACGTGGAATGGAAGACTTGAAGAGAAGTGGGGAAGAAATAGCAGAACTGATATCCTCAAGCAGCAGCGGAGATACTGAAGAAGATGCAAGCTGTAAGGGAGACAGAGTAACTAGTGAGAGAGCAGTTGGAAGCAGATTAACCAGACAGCAAAAAAGAGATACTCTCTGCCTCTACCAAAAAGTTGCATTGAATGTAGTACTGAAAATTTCAAATTTTGTAAACTGCGATGTTTGAAAATTTTTACTAGTATTTTGGTTTGTAATCCATCAAGTTTTTGAATGTTGTAGAGTCTCCCCGACTATTTAATTTGTCTGCAATTGTCCAAAAAGGGAAACAAGTCTGGCTTACCAAAACAGGTCTTGTATGTTTTCATTTGTCTTAAATTGCTCTTTTTATAAACTTTGTGGTCATTGAGCTACCTCTAAATAATTTATATAACAAGTTCAAATTTCTTCTGTAGTAATTTGAGACCAGTTGGAATAGTTCTGGGGGATAGAACAACAAAAATGTAAGCGATTTATTTTTTCCTATTTTGAGCACCGCCCTTTTGTAATAACTGGGCTTCGATATACCAATTCCTTCAGATAGTCCCATAGGAAGAAACCCAAAGGTGTCAGATCTGGCGATCGTAGCGGCCACACAACTGGATCCTCACGTCCAATCCAGCAACTTGGGTATTCCATATTAAACTGATTACGTAAAGGATAGCAGAAATGTGCCGGTACTCCATCATGCTGAAACCATAGGACACGTATTGCCGACAAGAGTAAGTAATCGAGGAAATCAGTTAGTACATCACGAATAAATACAAAGTATGAATGTTTACGTTTATTTGGTTAAGGCAACGCGACACATGGACGATCTGTCGAGAACGAAATGCCTCTCGGGAGGTGTGTTAAGGAAAATTGTCCCCTATTTAGGCGTTATTAACATGAAGAAAACCTGGAAAACTGCACATGGTCAACGTGCTAGTAAGGCGCGAACCCACCACGACCAACTACCAGTATTTAGTGGTTTTATCCACTCGGCACTGGTGGGCTGAGTATGAATGTTCCGCGAGTCGTTGATTCAAAACATATGGCCAAATAATATGATTGCCCAGTATGCCGGCCCACACATTTACAGACCGGCGGACGTGGTATCTGCGGGCAGATTGTATGAGAATTGGACTAACCACACATGGGTGTTGCGACTGTTGAAGACTACAGAAAGCGACTTGGTTGCTCGTCTTATTGCTGTGTTTAATTTGATGCTAGATTATATGTAGTCATTCTACACTGTGCGATGCATGCTTCGATATGCGCTGTGGTCATTTTGAGCATCTTCCTACGTAAGCATAATATCATATGCCAGTATTGATATTCATGTTTCCAGTAAGGCTTATTTTCCGTGTCCCGGGTGTGACGTCATACTTTTTCTTTCGCAATTTTCTCGGAAACTATGGGTCGTGGTTACATGGTTCTTGGGTCATTTTTTATGTACTCCGAGCGAAGATTATCGCTCTGCAGTATTTATGCGGTCTTCACGAAAAATTATTTTTATATAGGGTGCCGTATAAAAATGTAACATTGTATGTATATAAAAATATATGAAGTGTAAGATTAGTTTTTTTTTTTTTTAATAAATTACGCGTTGGGAACGTTTCAGAGGTATGGCTACCAGTTTTGGAATTTGGAGTTTTAAAAGAAATTTTTCGTATTAATTGAATAGGATTTAGATGAACACGCTGTTAAATCTAAGATATGTTACTTTTAAAACTTGTGTAAATTTAACATATACGTTTATATAACTATGTTGTGATACTGAGGAAAAAATATTGATCCCAAAGTGTATTCTTAAAAACATAATAATACGAGAAAATAAAGGTTTTAGGCAAGCGTATCCACTGTAAGTTATGAACGAAGTACATACGATTAGCATTAGTACAGTTTCGTACGTAGTGGGGGCGACGCTTTTTAGGGGACGGCAAAATTTCACAATAAATAATAATAATATCTTGTAAAAATTTGAACCATTTCATTTGATATTTTCGTCGCACCTACGATTCGGACCGATTGAAATGAGCACGGAATAGTGTTACCAACCGGAAGTCCGGGAATCGACTCACCTTCCGGGTGAACTATTAACTTTACCTGGTGATATTGTGCGCAACCTGTCGACCTATTTTTTTTTTTGCTTCTAAGATTCATTCGTAGTCATATACACCTCCAATATCCAATAGAGCTAAGTCATCTAGGTTACTCCTACCCAAGCCTCCTTAGTCGCTAACTGTAACTTATTTAGAACCGGCATGAACTGCACGTTATTCTTCGCATTGCAAAATGACATTACGCATGCGTCAGGAACTTCTGTTCGAACAAACCTCACCTGCCGTCCAGGTCAGCGATTTTAAAAAGGTGGCAACACTAGCACGGAATTTTTCATTATTTATTCTGTGACGGAACTGAATTTTAGTCTTTTAAATTGAGATACTTAAATAAGGGGACGGCGAAATTTTCTTTTGCCCCGGGCGGCTGACACCCACGCTACGCAACTGCATTAGTAATAAAAAATAAAGCGGTATTCTAATGATGGGTGCGAATAACACTTTAGATTAAAAAATTTATATCGTGTTTTTAACTTTTAAATAATTAATATTAAATAAGAATAAATTAAATTTAAATATTTGCCTCTTAAAAATATAAAATAACAAAGAAAGATCGAAATTCAAAGAAGTCATCTCTTATAATATAACTGACACAGACATTAGAACACAACAAAGTTTCTGTTTGTTACTCTATTTTCTTTATCTTGTTTTATGTCAAGAAAAATAACACAAGATAAACATCGTTCAGGGAGTTTATCTCTGACATTGTAAGAACTTTATACAAAACGTTAAACAATAAAAATTTATTGAACGATCGGATAAATTTTGAACAAAATGGAACTGATGTTACGTAAGAAAAATCTTAGGCGGAAAGGACGTTAAAGTTTAAATTTCTATAAATAAAAAGAATCTATAAGTAAGATTAAAANATTAGCATTTAAAACATTTTATAAAATTCGTCCCTACCCTCAAAATTAAGCTTTTTGCTATTTTGTAATAGTTAAAAATATATAAATATTTTAAAATAAAATATGATAACAGATGGCGCTAGCAAAATTTTAAATGTGGCTTGGAAAGTTGAGCAACTTGTTGCTGGTTTATTTTTATTTTATCTTCTTTATTAGATACAAACTATGTTTTCACTATTTTCTATATGTTGAAAAAGTTTTGTCGAAATGTCTCTTGTTTAGCATTTTATATGGATGCATAAAATTGTACAAAAATTGTAGCTAAACAGAAATCTTGTCGTAAAAATAAATAAGTTAACTAATAAAATTATTTTTTTAAACTAATAACATGTAAATTTAAAAGCAATTTACGATGTTAAATTTATTTTCGTTATGAAATGTAAATATATGAAAAACTGTTTGTTTACTTAATATTAATGAATAAATTGATAAGTTTTTGCTTGGGTATTATCATAAAATTAAGGAAAATATTCTAATGTGATTGTAAAATTTTTTAAAATGTTATTCGATTAATTAACGTCAGAAAGACAAAATTTTTATATTTATTTGATGAATGTGTGAAAACTAAGCGTATACAAAAGAAAAATCAATGAAAAAACATATAAAGAGTTGCATTGAAAATTATTGACGTCGTTTTGCTAATTTGTGATAAAATTACTATTAACAGTAAAATTAATTTAGAAGAGTTGAAATACTTTAATGAATAAAATCATAAAATTTCTTTTCACATTTTTGTGCAAATACGTTTGAAAAAGTGTCACCAACTTTTGTCTTTTTAGAGTTAATATATTGGTGATGGATTTTTAAACTGTACTGTACAAATGAGCATATCGCTAAAATTTTTATAATTGATAATCACGTAAACTAATTTTTCCGATCTGAAAATTTTCAATAATAATTTAATATGATTTATCGTCAAGAATCGCTTATTCATATGATGTAATTTCAAAACATTGGAGGATGAAGGTTTTCAGAATAATCAAATTAAAAACTTACTGTGATTTTAAGCCTGGCAGTTATCGAGTAGATAAAATCATCACTGAACGCTGGTAGTTAGTTAGTAGTGGGTCGCACCTCGCCAAAAGTAGTTTTCTGGGTTTTCTTCACGTTTTTAACACCTAAGTAAGGCCAGTTTCCTTTAAAAAAGTCCTCCAGGGAAGCATCTGCCTTCGGCATATCGCCCAAGTGCTTCATTGCCGTGTACAGAAACATTGAGATTTTAATACATATGTATTTTGATAAATCAATAATTATTTTTATGGCAAGTAAATTATGAAAGGCCGGACAATTTCAACTATCTTTAATTATCCCTAATAATAATAATAATAATAATTTACATTTTTTATGACAGTTAATTCGAATATCTACGCCATACTGTATACATAAAATACTTAACTTATTCGTCACAACACTATTTCCATTATGAAAACAGCAAAACAAATACGGCAGAACCGGAAATCGATGAATCGTCACGAACAAGAGAGAGAAGTGAAGGGGAATGACCCGAGGGAAAGCGACAATAGGGAGCTGTGGGAGAGGAGTGCGAAGATAGGAGGATTGACTTGAGCGAAGCGAGTAGGGCTTGATCCGAACATAGAGAAAGGAGAAGATGGTAAACTACTGTAAGGTCTGTGGTGTACCAAAGGCTCGTGACAGCGCCACTAACGAGAAGAGAAAGAAGCGTTCAAGACGCTTTTGCGCTTGCGCGAAAAATGAGTAAAATTGTAGTCTTTTTCCTCTTAAAGCATTTTTGAACGAATAAACATAATTATCACATTAATATTGTTGCCTGCCCGCGAATTGTGCAAGTAATTTAGATGAAGTGCAAAGAATAAAAAAAACCTTGTAGCACAACATTGTTTATAATATCGGAATTTTCATATTTAAATATTTTACATATGTGTATAGTTTACTTACTATATGATTTTCTAATTTTAAACCTGTTTCTGTACATTTATATTTAATAATATATATATATTATTAAATATAAATGTACAGAAACAGGTTTAAAATTAGAAAATCATATAGTAAGTAAACTATACACATATGTAAAATATTTAAATATGAAAATTCCGATATTATAAACAATGTTGTGCTACAAGGTTTTTTTTATTCTTTGCACTTCATCTAAATTACTTGCACAATTCGCGGGCAGGCAACAATATTAATGTGATAATTATGTTTATTCGTTCAAAAATGCTTTAAGAGGAAAAAGACTACAATTTTACTCATTTTTCGCGCAAGCGCAAAAGCGTCTTGAACGCTTCTTTCTCTTCTCGTTAGTGCCGCTGTCACGAGCCTTTGGTA